GGGCGGGGGCGGGGCCCGGGGTGGGGACGGGGCGGGAGGCCTCCGGCGCAGGCGCAGCCCCGCCCGTCCCGCCCACTCTGGCTGTGGCGGCGCGAGGCCTGCGGCGGGGACGCGGACGTGAGTGCGTGCGCGCGGCCGCCCGGGGTCCGGGCTGAGGGGCTGCGGAGCTGCGGGGCGCGGGTCCGGGGCGGCGGGCGCGCGCAATTGTGGCGCGGCGGGCGCCCGCGGGGTCCTTGGGCCCGACCGCCCGGGCTGGCCCCGTCATGTGATCGCGCAGGCCGCGCGCTCCGGGCCCTCCGGAAGAGCCGGGGTGACTCAGCGCCCCCGGGTGCGCCGGGGTCACTGCGATTAGCCGTTGCTTCCCAGACGGGGCGGCCCCTCCTGGCCCCGGGTGGTCACCTGTGCGCTGGCCCGACGGCCGTGGCCCCGAGCTCCTGGTCCCGGTCGGGGGTCCCAGAGAGTTCCTTTCCTGAGCTCGCCCACCTGTACTGCGTGCCCCCTAACGGTGAGGGTCACCGTCCGTGGTTCATTTAATCCTCATCCCCACCGGTGAGGCACATGCTGCATCGAGGCACAGAGAGGCTCGTTCGTTTTCTCAGGGTCACACAGCGGGTGTGAACCCACGCGCGAACGTTGCCCCCGGTGCCGACTCAGGTTGTCTGAGCACCAGGTGACGTGGAAGTATCCAGAAAATGGGTGCTGCACCCCTCCCCCCTCCCCGGGGGCCTGCAGGGCTGCGTGGCGTTTGTGCGAATCCCGGCTCTCCCACCCTGGGCAGCCAGAGGAGCTTCCCCCCGCCTCCACTTACTTTGATTCCGTGGTTCTTAAACTTGTAACATATCCACGAAACATAAGATTTATCATATTAACCATTTTTAAGTGTACAATTCAGTGGTATCTGTCCCTTTCCTTTTAGCACCTTAACTCCTGGTTTGTTCTGAAGGAAGGGGGGTGAAAGGGAGATACGGTTGTTGCAGGTGTTAAAAGCTGACACCCAGGGGTGGCCTCAGCCAAGGGTGTACATCTCAGTGACTTGTCAGGAGGTGACTCCACACTGGGTCAGGGTGAAGGCCTCGTGTCCCTTGTCCCCCCCAGCCCACATCTCCCGGGTGGTCCAATCTCACTCTGCCACCACCACTGTGGAAACCGTTGTCTGTTTCTGGACCTTTCCTGGGCCTGGGCTCTGCCGAGGTCTCTCCCCAGCAGGTGCTTCCCTTTCCGTTGCTCTGTAGTATTCCAGAGTTCCAGGTCCAGTCACTTGCTTTTCAGGGCAGGAGCGATGATGTCCCGTCTGGCGCCCAGGTGGCCTGCCTGGCTCTCCTGGTGGCAGGCGGCCGGCCCTCAGGGAGTCTCCGCACAGCAGAGGACATGGGCAGGGGCGTCCAGGATCCCTGGGCCAGGTGGCCCTTGGGGGGCCACGGGCACCAGCCCCCTCGTTCGAAGAGGCAGCTCCTAGGCATTCTCCTGTACTCCTGAGGTGGTGCTGACCCGGGAGCGCTACTCCGTGCGGCGGCTGCCCTTCTCCGTGGTGTCTGAGGACGACCTGGCTGCCCTGGAGCGCATCGTCCCTGGCAGGGTCATCACAGACCCAGAGGAGCTGGAGGCGCCCAATGTGGACTGGCTGAGGACGGTCCGAGGTGAGTAAGGGTCTGTTCATGCTTCACACTTGGCGGGGTGGGTGGGCTTGAGAAACAGCATGAGATGAGGTGAGGCCGGTGAGGAGCTCTGGGTAGCGGCACATAACGCTTTTCTTATGCACGATGTCTACACATTAAAAGATGAAACAGCGCCTCCCCCCGCCCCCGCCCCAGCTGCTCAGAGCTGGGTGTGTGTGTTAACTACTGCTCACTTCCCCTCAGCGCCTGCATTAGTCTCCCAGGGCCACCTGTGTAACAAAGAACCACAAACCAGGCTCAAAACGACACATCTATCCTCTCCGTTCTCAAGGCCAGAGTCTGAGATCCAGGCGTGGGCAGGGCTCCCTCCAGGGGGCCTGCGCTGTGGGCGGCCGCAGTGGGGTGGGAGGTGGACGCACCTTCTGGGAGGCGTCTCCTCCCCAGTGCAGCTTCCCCTCCTCCACTGTACCAGGGGTTCTCCTGCACCCAGCACAGCCTCTTGATAACAGAGATTTCCTAATACCCTGTGTTCTCTTCTGAAATAATTTCAGAGATTACCTGACCTACTTCCTTAGTTACAGAAACCAACGTGATGTTCTTGCTACAATATTAAGGAGAGCTAGAAGACAGGCAATTTACAACGTGGGGACATATTTAAACCTGTAATTCCAGGACACGCTGGGTGGCCAGGTCCTCAGGCTGGGCCTGGATCCAGCGCACTCGGGACTGAAAAAGAGTAGTGGGGGGTGTGCTGTGCTGTTGACGCAGACACTCTGAGGGCTGTGCTGCCGGTGGGAAAACTTCCGAGTGAGGTTCCAAACCACAGTGCAGAGTCTTGAGCGAGTGGAACTGGGGCGGAGGCGCAGATAACGGGGCGGTCCTGCCCCTGTGGGAGGCCCGAGACGTTGGACAGCCTTCGGCTCTACTTGTCTGCTGGAGCGCCCTCCAGCGGAAGGGCGTCCAGCCCCGCCCTGCCCACAGGGGCGGCACTGCCCCGCTGAGAGGCCCCGCCCAGCAGGCAGTGATCCTGGAGGCCGGAGAGGGTGAAGCCCGTCCTGGCTCAGCCAGGTCGGTCGCGGTCCCGCCTTGGTGCTGCTGTCTGGGCGGACAGACCTCAGTGCCCAGCCCCACGCAGGGCGCCCCACCTGCTCGTCCCCGAGGCCTGCGTGCCCACGCTCTGGGGTGCCCCAAACGGGCGGTGGCTGCAGTCTCCTGGGGGCCCTCCTCACTGTCAGCCGCCCTCCTGGGGGCCGGGCAGCGGGCAGCCTGCCCTGTGGGCCCGTGTGGAGGACCCCTGCGGGCTTCCTGTCTCCTTGAGTTCGGGGGGCCGCGCTGGGCCTGCTCAGCTCAGGGCCCAGCGGCTGCTCAGTGGGCGTCTGTTGGGGGACTTGGTGAATTTTTGTCGAAATACCCCTTTATGTGGCTTTCTTTTGGAGAGAAAGCCTGTCTGAATTGTTGAACATTTTAATCTCAGAGTTATGTAGAAAATGTAAGCTAGCAAAAGCTGATTAGGGTCTTTTAATTTTTCTTAAAATGTGAGATTTTATTTGAAATGGAAGCTTGTTGAATATTTCTTCCTTCAAAACTTAGACCACTCGCTCGTGGGTGAACCCCACAAACTTTGCGCCTGCACCAAGTGAAAGGCTGGGGCCCTGGATGTGCAGATGGACAGGAGGCTGACCTGGGGGTGGCGGCAGGAGCAGGGGCTGGGCTGCGCTCCACGTGGCCGCGAGCGCCCTGGAGGCCCCCCCAGCACAGGCCGTTTTCTCCGACCTGGGAAAGTCTCTGGAAGGGCGTGCCTAGAGCAGGGACAGCCAGCCAAAGCCTCAGAGCAGGGCTACACTGGGCTCCTTGGAAGAGCCATGAGACCTGAGACCGCATGAGCGGCCTGAGTGGATGGCTGGCGGGGGGAGGTCGGGGAGGGGCGAGTCAGCGAGGCCTCGAGGGCCCTGTGCATCCTCACCTTTCCTGCGCGCTGATGGGGAGTGCGGCCGAAGGGCCATGGCAGAGGGGGCCGCGGGGGGTGTGCGAGGGGCCGGGTGCCCGGGCAGGGGGCTGGCCGCTGAGTAACGGTTGGCTTGGGTGTGTCTGGAAGGGAGGTTGGCTGATGGCTGGATGAGGGTGTGAGGGAACGATGGCAGGCACGCAGGGACATTTGGCCTGAGCAGTAGCAAAAACTGGGCCCGTCTGCTGAGTTGATGCGGAGAGTGACCGGAGGGTGGATCTGTGCGGGGAGAAACAGGAGTTTGGGTTTGGACGCGTTTCCGTGGCCACGCGAGGGGGCCTGTCGGGCCGTGGAGCAAGCTAGTCTGAGGTTTAGGGCGGGGCAGCACCGGCCTTCCGAGGAGGCTGATGACCGCTGTGCCCAGTGGAGGGGCAAGGGGCCCGCCGAAGGGGCGAGGCACCAGGGGCCGGGGAAGAAAGCCAGGGAGGTGGGGTCGTGGGGTCAGATGCGGCCACACGGACAGGCTGAGACGGGCCACGTGGGCGTCCTTGGGGACAAGTGGGAGGCTCTCTGTGGCGTGAAGGGGATGCATGCACCCCTGGAGCCGGTCCTGGGGTGTGAGGGGCCAGGAGGGTCAGAGAAGTGGGTGAGGCTTGCAGGGCTCGGGGGTCAAGCGAAGGGGCTTTTCGTCTTTAGTTCTAGGGTGAGAGCGCCGTCTCGGCAGGTTTGTGGTGTCATCGGGGATGACCAGGTGGAGAGGGAAGCGTGGACGACACAGGGACAGGAGGGGCGTCCTCGAGGAAGCGTCGGGGAGCCACAGTCCCGTGGGTGGTGCAGATGCTGGGGCGGGGCCAGCTTGTTCTGCGGGCCACTGGACGCCAGGAGGCCAGGTCTGAGTCCTGCTGTTGACAGTCTCCATGGCCCGGCCAGCAGGCTCCTGCAGAGGGCGGGCAGGAGGTCCTGGGCATCAGCTCTGCCCTGTTGTGTGCAAGCAGGCCCGACATACGACGTACGCAGGGGGCGGCAGCCGGGCATGCTGTGCTGACCCTGAGGTCGGTGGGCACTGACATCCCCGGGACTTGGCTGGGAGACCGAGAACCGGGGGCGCCGCCAGGTTTGTGTGCGTGAGGAGGGCGCCTGGATGAGGCCCCGGGGGAGGAGGGCGCCTCTGGCACCCCAAGCCCGGAGGCGTCCTGAGGGAGGGAGAAGGGTCAGTGCCCTAGGGCTGTGGGGGAAGCAGAGACAAGAGGCAGGAGTGCTGGAGCAGCTGCGCCAGGGCGCCGGGGCACTCAGGAGGCCAGGAGAGCGGATGGCTTCCTGGGGGTGAGGCACCTGGAAACGCTGGGATGCTGCTGGCAGGTGATGGGCGGGGTGCTGAGTGAGCCTGGATCCAGGGCCGTCCCCCTGCAGGCTCAGCCCCCAGAGCACTGTGAGGGTGCTGAGAGGGAGGAAGTCCGCAGCGGGGTGGTGTCCGGAGCCTGTACAGCCGGCCTTTCCGTCTGTCCCCTCGCTGGCCTGCGCGTCCCGGCCTGTCCGGGCTGGACGCTCCTTCCCTCCAGTCCTGGGCGGTTCCCCCGAGTTGCCTCTGATGATTCTCTGCTCTGTGCTCCATTCTCTTTGTAGGCTCCCCTTATTAACACGTTGGACCATTTTCTTATCCTTTCCCCCATGAGAAAGTAAACTTCCCAGGGGCGGGAGAACTCATCTGTTTTTATTCTCTGTGCCCATCACAGGGCACATAGGGTGGGCGCTCAGGTGTTGCTGAGAAACAGTGTGTGAGTAAAACCAACAGGAGCCTCGGGGGTGACCAGGGTCCCTGGACTGTGCTGTCCCAAAGGATCTGGATGCCAAACAGCCAGCTGCCTGGGCAGACACGGTTCATTTGATGAACAGCAAGTGAGAAATGGCTTTCAAAATAACAAAGGGTAAGGTAGCAACCACAGCCCAGTCTCAGAGCTCCATGAAATCGCTGGCCAGCAGGAACACCTGCTAGATGCCCCGCTGTCCTCCTGCAGCCTCTTAGCCACTTAAAGTACTGATACTTTCCACAAAATTGAAAGGGTGGGAAGAGACTTGATTGTCTTGGAGGCAGTGGTCAGCAATGCCGACAGACGAGGCCACGCTGGACATCAAATAAATCGTGGCAGCAAAGAATTGTAACCAATGAACAACCTAAGAACCCATGAGCCCGCACTGCTGTGATTAAATAGCCAAGGACACAAATACATGAGAGGGAAAGGGAGGCCCCTTCTTACAGCAGAAGGTTGCCTCGAGTGCAGGCGGACCGATGCATTTAGAAACATCACCTCTGGTACCTGTCCTGAGGACAGATTCAGGTAAGGATGATTCACGGGCGACTATTTGTGGGACGACAGGGTATCGACGTAGCCTCAAGTGTCTCTGCATGAGACCCGTATTAATTACAAGGGAAACCCAGTAACTTTCAGTGGGGAAGGTGGGCAGACGCCCCTACCCTGGGTCCCTGCCACCCTGCTTCCCAGGGCCCAGCTCAGGACCACAGACCACCACCCACTGGCCCTCCGCCCCCTCCAGCTAGAGACGGGCCGCTCCTGCCATCGGGTTTTGGTCCTTGAGGTTTGTGGGCCAGCTGCGCCAGGAGGTGGGACATGACCCCGCCGCGGGGTGACCGCTCGGCTTCTGTCTTGCAGGCTCCAGCAAGGTGCTGCTGAGGCCCCGGACGTCCCAGGAGGTGGCGCACATCCTCAGGTACACACCCTGCCCACTATCCTGCTTTGCTCACCAGTGGTTTCCTCACAGGCACAGGGCACAGAACAGGCAGACCCCGTGAAGTGGACAGTGACTGGGGCCGGGGAGGTGGCGGAGGCAGTGCCAGCCTGAGCAGGGCTGAGCCCGGAATCTTGGACCCTTGGGGTACCAGCTGGGCCTCGGGTGGGGAGCGGCTGCAGACTTGAAGGGCAGGGCAGGGAAGGAGACGGACCTTTTCTTGAGAAATGTGTTCTTTGATGTTTTATATCAATACACTCTCGTGTTTATTATAGAAAGATTGGAAAACGTACAAAACCATAAAGAAAAAAAAATGCAAAAGCAACCAGTAATTTTCCCTCCAAAGAAAACCACCGATGACATTTTGGTGTGTTAGCTCAGCATCTTCCTTGCGGGGGATGAAGGGTTTTTAAATGTTACCACGTTGTATCTACAGTGTCGGAGTTTTTTATCCCTTCCGTTTGGCAATATCCGTGCCCATTTCTTGTTGCTAATTATTCTTCCACGCCACTTTCATTGCATGCAAGGTGTGCGCCCTGTGAGTGCTTTGTCCCCACAGTGGCATGTTGAGGTGTGTCCAGTGCTTCAGAATAGCTGGCAGGTGGGCGGGCGCCCCGGCCTTCTCTGTCAGAGCCACGGCTGGAGGCTGACCGCGCGGCAGGTGGCTTTTTTTTTTTTTCTTTTGCGGTATGCGGGCCTCTCACTGTTGTTCCCTCTCCCGTTGCGGAGCACAGGCTCCGGACGCGCAGGCTCAGCGGCCATGGCTCACGGGCCCAGCCGCTCTGCGGCATGTGGGATCTTCCCGGACCGGGGCACGAACCCCTGTCCCCTGCATCGGCAGGCGGACTCTCAACCACTGCGCTACCAGGGGAGCCCGGCAGGTGGCTTTTTTGACGCACGTGGGCAGCCTGCCTCTCAGGGCACGTGCCCTGCTGCCCAAATCCTGACCCATTGGGGCGCTTGTCACTTCAGGTCTTTGTGCAGTGGGAGCCTGGTTGGGGGTAAGGTGCTACTGATGAGTCTGACATAGGTCTGGAGGGTGGTGGGCGAGGGAGGGGCATGCGGCCAAGGTTAAAGGAGAGAGGAGACATGGGGCGTGGAGGTGGGAGGGAGCCCCAAGTGCCTGGGGGCTGCGGTTCTTCAGGTGAACAGGGAGGGCTGCAGCTGTTGTTCGGACTGTCTGTACTTGGAGGAGTGGCGTCTCAGGGCAGCTGGGGCCTCAGCCGTGATCTGGGAAGATGCCGGCCGCCAGTTCCCCAGGTGGCTGTGTGATGGACGTTTGTCCTGTCAGACTCCCATTGTGCATGGGGGCCGAGGAGAGTGCCTGGGGGCTGCGGTTCTTCAGGTGAACAGGGAGGGCTGCAGCTGTTGTTCGGACTGTCTGTACTTGGAGGAGTGGCGTCTCAGGGCAGCTGGGGCCTCAGCCGTGATCTGGGAAGATGCCGGCCGCCAGCTCCCCAGGTGGCTGTGTGATGGACGTTTGTCCTGTCAGACTCCCATTGTGCATGGGGGCCGAGGAGGCACCCCCTCGAGGCTGCGGCAGGAGGGCCTTGGGGTCTCACGGCCCCGAGAGTGTCCCCCTGGGCTGGTGGTGTGGGAAAGGGGCTCTGACGCTGGTCCTGTGCGTGTCCCAGGTACTGTCACGAGAGGAACCTGGCCGTGAGCCCACAGGGGGGCAACACGGGCATGGTGGGGGGCAGTACCCCCGTCTTTGATGAGATCATCGTGTCCACCGCCCTCATGAACCAGATCGTCAGCTTCCACAATGTGTCTGGTAAGGCCAGCTGCCCGTCAGGACCTTTCCTCTCAGCTGTGGGGCTGGGCCGTGGGGGACCCGGGCCCGGGGAGGGCCCAGAGGCCACCTCCACTCCACCCGAGCCGGGCCCCCGGGTGCATCTGCAGGGCGGGTTGTTATTTAGTTGGTTACTGGGGTGACTCACCCCCTGGGCTTGACCTGTTCCTGCGGCCCCTTCAGATTGACATTCCTGGCCGTGCTGGCCCTTCCCAGGGCATGCAAGGCATCTAAGGGGCTCCGTGCTCATGAAGCTCGGGGCTCAGCAACGGCGAGTTGGTGCCTCGGGCAGGACATACAGGTGGATCGTGCTGTCTGGCAGGGGCACCTGGACATTGGGCAGTGTCGAGCAGCACCCTGGCCTCCACCCACTCGATGCCAGCGGCACCTCCAGCCCAGATCGTCTCCAGAATTGTCACGTGTCCCCAGGGGCAGAATCACCCCCACGGTTGAGGGCCACAGCCTTGTAGCAGCCCTCCATTTACGGCTCCCTGGCATAATAAGCTTGTGTGTGTGGGGGGGTGTATGTGGTGTATGTGAGGTTTCTTTCCTCCATTTTGCCTCACTGTTGTTTTTCTTTTCTCATGGAGGCATCTTCTGGGGAGGGATGGGGGACATGCCCCTTTTCCTCCTCGCCCGGGTTCCGGGTGGACGCCCCTTCTGGGGCTTTTCTCCTGCAGGGCCCCCCCACGTGGTCCAGCTGGTCCTGAGCTGAGAGTCCCCGCGGGCGCTCTGGTTGCTTGGCAGGGGTCCTGGTCTGCCAGGCGGGCTGCGTCCTGGAGGAGCTGAGCCGGTATGTGGAGGAACAGGGCTTTGTCGTGCCGCTGGACCTCGGGGCGAAGGGCAGCTGCCACATTGGGGGGAACGTGGCGACCAACGCAGGTGGCCTGCGGTTTCTGCGATACGGCTCGCTGCGAGGGACGGTCCTGGGCCTGGAAGTGGTGAGCTGGGGACAGTGTCGCGGCTCAGCGCCGGCCCTGCTTCCAGGGACACCTGGCCGGGCTCACTCTGGTCCCCAGGTCGGTCCCAGGGTGGCTGACTTTCCCAGTGGTCAGCATGCGAGGTCTCTGGGTGAGACACCCTGTCAGGTCCACCCTTGTTCCCTGCAGACACCTGGGGTGGTGCAGGCCCAGCATGGGGGCTGCCCTCTTGGGCCCCGGGTGGCGCAGGTGCACGAGGCCACCTCAGGGATGGGGCCTCGTCCCAGCCTGGAGATCCAGGTTCCCATTGTACCAGCCCCGGTCTCCTCTCAGTCCCACCAGGGCCTTGGGGGTTACATGAAGCACCCGGCTTTCTGGCTTCCCACGAGGTGATGGCGTGTCCGCTGCCCTCCTGTCCCTGTGAGGAAATGCCGTGGGAAGCTCGAGCAGCTTCCCGGACCAGCAGCATTCTGCCCTCCAGCTTCCTGGTAGCTCGTGCTCAGAGGAGCCCCGTGGGGCCACTGTCACCACCCCTAGGGCTGTTGAGTCTGTGAAGCACACCTGGGGGCTTTCTAAAGCAAGGGCCCTCTGTTTACCCAAGGAGGGAACGACTTCCATCTGCTAAATCACGAGGTTCCGGTAGCTTTGTCCTCTGGACGCAGGTTATTCTTTATTGTAACTCACTTTGGCATTTTCACAAGCTGCTCCACTAAGCTTCTGACTAAATGAACCAAGCAAGACTCAGGACGGGCTTACGGAGCATCTGCGGGGCCTGTGGATGAGGAGAGCAGGGGTGGGGGCCTGATGCACTGCCACTCTCTGCCCTACTCCTCCCCGGGTGCGCCCTCCTGCACCCCAGGTGTGCCCTGCTTTGGGACAGCTTCCCTTGAGAATTGGGCCCTGAGCTTCCTGATCGTGGTAGTGGTGGGGATCGTCACTGCATCCGGGGAAGAGAAGCCCCTCTTTCAGCCTGTCGGGGTGACTCCAGGCCTGGTGCCACCCTAGGGACCCCTGTGTTCCTGGACCAAAGTGGGGCGGGGGACTGATGACTGGCTCAGCTTTCTCAGGGTGCCCTGGGCTGGGTCGGCCTCCCCAGGGCATCTGTTGGGGCCGTGGGCTAATGCAAGAGTGCCCGTCTCTGCTCCCTCCCAGGTGCTGGCCGATGGCACCATCCTTAACTGCCTCACATCCCTGCGGAAGGACAACACGGGCTATGACCTGAAGCAGCTCTTCATCGGGTCGGAGGGCACCCTGGGGGTCATCACCGCCGTGTCCATCTTGTGTCCGCCCAAGCCCAGCGCTGTGAACGTGGCTTTCCTCGGTAGGTGCCCTCCGTCTGCCTCTCGAGCGGGTTCTCAGGCTGAGCTGCCGTGTGCGGTCCCTCCTGTTTCTCTGGGCTTCTCGCTGTTTCCAAAGGGTGTGGGACCTGGCCTTGTTGGTGTCCGCAGTGGGGTTTGGGCAGAGCACACACTCTATTCTGTAACAAAACTGGGGCTTCGCATGTTTCATCCACCCGGCGTTTGTTATTTAGGCAGCTTATGCAGTAAGATTCACAGGGAAATGATGTGGTTTGGCGTGAGATCAAGGGCATGAGTCTGTTCATCACAGGGCTGTGGGGGGTAGTAATTAGTCCCCTCTGCAAGCCAGCCACTCGCTTCCCCTGTCTTGGACCACCTGTCTCTGCGATCGCGTTGGGACATTTCCCTCGTCGCCGGCCGTTCACGTTCTCCGCTTCCCTTCAGAGCAGGCTTGAAAAACGGGCTCACATCTGCTTTGTTCCGATCCCTCCACCACCTGTTTGCATCTCCTTTCCCGCCGTCATTCACCTGCGTTAGGTTAACTGCGGCCTCCGCTCCTCTGCTGGTCCAGAGGCCCGTCTCTGGGAGGTCCCTGCACCTTGCCCGGCGGCGGGATGCAGGGCCCCCAGTGGCTCCCACCACGGGCGGGCTCTTGTCTCGAGTCCATCAGTCTCTGATCTCTGGTGGTCCTTACTGTTATTTTCCACACGTGCCATTTTCTTCGTCCCCTGCGTCAGGCCTTCCTCCAGAGGCCACGTGCCTTGTGAACATGTCCTCCATCATTTCCTGTCGTGGATGCCTGCTGCTGAGTTCTCGCTTTGAGTCTGTCCAAAACCATCTCCGTTTCACCCCATTCTTGGAAGACACTCTGGCGAGCACAGGCTGGTATCTGTGCCCTTTCGTCCTGTTGAGGGCGCCACTCCACGCGGCTCTGTGGCTGTTGGTGACGCCAGCCAGCCGTCCTCTGCGGCGATTTTCTCTTTACCTTTGACATTTTACGGGTCTCGGTGTGTTGTGTGTGAGAGTACGTTTCTTTTTCTCTCTGGGCTTCCTGAACTTCTTAATCCCATGGCTTGGTTCTCCCACTTCCATAAGTTTCCTGCCACCCCCCGTCGTCAGCGGTTGCCCCCGTTTTTCTCCCCTCTCAGGACTGCGATTAGACGCACGATAGATCCTCCCTGTGTCTTACCTGCACCCGAGTTTCCATCCTGTCTCACTCTGTGATGCGTTCTGGAAGGTTTCTTCTGATCTGTTTCCAGTTAACTAATGCTCCCTGCGGCTGGGGTTCACGTATCGCCAAACGCGCCATGTCCAGCCCTGCGTCCAGCCGAGGGGCCTGCACGTGTTCCTTGGGCCTCAGCCCCTGAGCTTCACTTGCAGGATCTTCTCTCCAGACCCTCCTCCCTGACCTCCACACGACCTCTCAGTGCCTTCCCATCCCTGCCCTGAAAGGCCAAGTGTGCCCACCGCTCCCAGCCTGCTGACATATCCACGTCCCCTCTCTGCCTTGGACCGCTTGGTGGTCAGCTCCAGGCACCGGGACACCATGGAGAGCTCGGGGGTCAGTAAATGTGCCTTGAACGACTTGCTGGGCCCTGGGTGTTGTCAGAGACGCACAGCTAAGCCGTTTTCCAGGGCGGCCATTGCTGGCCCTGTGTTTGTGGGCTTTCCAAGTGGCTTTCCTGAGCATCGGGGCTCTCAGGCAGCCTTTTCTCTTCCTCTTTGATGCCTGTGACCTACGGCGTGGTGGCTGACCCGGGTGGCTTGTCCCGCTCCGCGAGGCTGCCCAGCTCAGCAGCGCTGTTGCCAGGAGATGGGTTGGTTTTGCTGCTTGAAAGGGGGCTCAGGTGGGCCCGTAGGTGAGGCCCTGCCTCCGCATGACCAGCTCGCCTGTCCTTTTTCCATGTCTGTTGTAGGCTGTCCTGGCTTTGCTGAGGTTTTGCAGACCTTCTGCACCTGCAGGAGCATGCTGGGCGAGATCCTATCCGCATTCGAGTTCATGGACGCCGAGTGCATGAAGCTGGTTGGGCTCCACCTCCGTCTCGCCTGCCCCGTGCAAGGTACTGTCCCCGCCTGATGGCAGCGCCCACCGCCCCTATTGTGCCGTTTGATGTGTGGGCGGATCGGAGCTTCCGTCCTGTCCGTGAAGTAGGCGATGGCAGGGAGCGTCGCCGTGGCTCCGGCGTCCCTGTGGTTGTCGAGAGCAGAATTCCCTGAAATGAGCTTTACGTACGCCCCCGGAGTTCAGTCAAATGCTGTCGGTCGTGCCGTAGCCCTAGGGTCTTTGGAACAGCCAGATGCACAGTCAGGGGCGCCCTCCAGGCTCCTGCACTGGGAGGGGTGTCATCCCATGAAGTGCTGGCCCTTGGAGCTCAGCCAGCTCATTCTGATTTGCCAGTGAGCTCGTCCTGCCCAGGTCTTTAGTCCGCGCTCTGTGTAAAGCTAAGTCCATGCAGCTGTACACCTTGGTATTTTCACTTCTGGAATCGACCCGGAAGAAATGATCGTTGTCTTACCCCAGGCTGCCCTAACAGAACACTAGAGGCTTAAAGAAGGAAATTTGTTTCCCCTGGTTCTGGAGGCTGCAAGTCCAAGACCAGGGTTCCATCGGGGTTGGATTCTGGTGAAGGTCCTCACGGGGTGTCTTCTGTGTGTGTGTGTGAGAGACCTCGAGTCTCTTCCTATTCCCATGAGGGCACGAGCCCTGAAAAATCAGGACCCCACTCTTAGGGCCTTATTTAACCTGAATTACCTCCCTAAAGGCCTAATTTCCAAATACAGTCGCATAAGGGGTGGATTAGGGCTTCACCGTGGGAATTTGGGGTGGGCGGTTACACAGTTCAGTCCATAATAGTCATAAGTGTGGAAAGAACTTTATGCTTTAAGTTTCTACTGAGGCATTTGTTTTCGTATAAAATAGGAAACCACCTGTCCAGGGTAGAGAAATAAGACATGTACGACCACTGGAAAGACGGAAGGTCCCTGGGGGTGGGGAGTGAAGGGTCCCTGGAGGGACAGAAGGTCCCTGGATGGTTGGAGGGCCCCTGGGGTGTTATCGGCCATTGAAAAGCGCTGGGCCTCCCCTTTAGCCCATAGTTTGGTAAGAGGGGTCCCTGGGGTGCCCCTGCCCCATCCAGGCACCAAAAGTACAGCTTTGTGCTGTCTCCAGGGGGCCTGGCTTCTCTTACAGTGAAAGACCTATTTTTAAACTGTCTGAAATTCAGCCCGAGTAGCCAGCGGCTGCTCTGCAGGCAACATGAGCACCGTCAGGGGTACCAGAGCTGCGGCTGGCCTAGACCTGTCCTGGCTCTCGGCCAACCGCCTTCCCCTCCGCGTTCCCTCTGCCCCCTCCAGAAAGTCCGTTCTACGTCCTCATTGAGACCTCGGGCTCCGGGGCGGGGCACGATGCGGAGAAGCTGAGCGGCTTCCTGGAGCAGGTGCTGGGCTCAGGGCTGGTGACCGACGGGACCCTGGCCACCGATCAGAGGAGGATTAAGGTGTGTGAAGGCTGCGGCCCTCGTCCTTCCCGTGACGCCTGAAGTTAGACTGTGGGTTGTGGCTGAGCGTGAGCACGTGTCCCCAGCTGGGCCATCTGTCTGGTCTGGGTGCCCCATCCCTGGGGGGTGGTGCCACCTGCCTCGGTGCCCGCTCTGGTCCTGCCCTGTCTGGGCTGCTGGCTCCACAGCCCCGTTCTCAAACGTTGGTGCCAGGGGCCCAGCCGGGTGACACAGGGGGGTGCTGGGCCAGCATCCTTCCTGGGTGGTGAGGGGTCAGGAGGACGTCCCTGAAGGGACATTTGAGCACAGATGGATGCGGGGTGGGGAGTGAGTTACCTGTGCAGGTGCACAAAGGCCCTGAGGGGCTGGTGCCTGCCGTGTTCCAGACAGAACTTTCTGGAGAGGGTGGGATTGGAGCGCAGTGAGAGGGGGTGGGCAGACAAGGGGGCAGCAGGTCTTGGGGATGCACCAGGACATGATGGACGTGAGTGGGGCTCGAGGAGCCTGTGGGCACAGGGGACAGGCGGGACCGGCTGGCTCAGGCTGGCTGTGCAGGGATGTGGCGGGACTCCGGGTGTGTGCAGGAGGCGGGTGCTGAGTGACCCTCTGCTGTAAAAGTCTGAGAGAGCTGGGGAGATCCGGACGCTGACCGGATGTTCCGTGGTGGTGAGGAATTATTGTTATTTTTTCAGGGGTGATCATTGCACTGGGGGTATGTTAAAAAAGCAAGAGAAAGGAGTTTTTGCCTTGCCGAGGAGGTTGGTTTGCTGGGAGGTTTCCTGAAATGGGGAGTGGGGGGTTTAGGGCGGGGCAGGGATGAGGCCCAAGTGGGACGGGCGTTCCCAGGCCCCCCTTTCTCTGACGCGACAGGGAAGGCATTCTAGTGAAGGACAGCGTGACCATGAGGCCTCCCTGCCTCTCTGCTCCCTCAGTCCCTCCCCGTGTACTCCAGCCCAGGCCCGGGATGTCCCCCCTGTCTGCCATGGTCCTCCCGCACCTGCTCTCCCCCCGCCCTCGCTTGGGGCCCTGTCATGGGGGTCACAGGATCTGTTCCGATTGTCCGGAGAGGGGCCCTGGGTGCCTGGGTCCCGGGGGCCAGCCTGTGGCCTCATTCGGGGACCTTGTCCCATGTGGACTCTGGGACAGAAGCCACACACCTGTCACGACGCAGAACGTTTCTGTCACCTGGAGGGTTTCCTCGCCTTGCGACCCCATGGTGACCCCGCAGCATCACTGCCCTGCCCACCGCAGGTGACCGTGCCTATCCCCTCACTTCCAGATGCTGTGGGCCCTGAGGGAGAGGATCACTGAGGCCCTGAGCCGGGATGGCTACGTGTACAAGTATGACCTCTCGCTGCCCCTGGATAGGCTTTATGACCTCGTGAGCGACCTGCGGGCCCGCCTCGGCCTGCACGCCAAGCACGTGGTGGGCTACGGCCACTTGGGTGAGCGCGGCCCACGGTACGGGTGGAGACCCGGGGCTGGGAGGGGGAAGGACCCACGTCCTCACCACGCGGTCTCTGGGGCCGTCTTGGAGGTGGAGTGCAGGGTCCGGGCTTGGCTGGGGCAGCGGGAGGTGGGCCCTGAACGCGGGGGTCTTGGGGTTTGATGAAGGGGCCTCACCCCTCGCTCCTCAGACGGAAGGATCTTAAAAGCAGTTCAGATAATGATTTTTTGCAGAAAAGTCATGCAAAATGAAAGGAACTGTTTCATTCCCCTTCATTCCCCACAGCCTTTGGAACTGGGCGTCTCAGAGCCCTGTCCACAGGGCAGGTGTGCTGGGGCCTCCATCCACGTCTTCAGGGCGGGATTCAGCAGTGCCTCCTGGGCTTGTGAGGGTCTGAAGAGGTGCGGTGAGGGGCACACGGTGGAGGGCTGGCCCTGGCCCAGCATCGCTCTGATCGCTTGAGTGGAGGGATTCCACTTCCAAGAATTGAGGAGGAACGTTGGATTTGTCAAATGCTTTTCCTGGGTCTGCCCAGGTGTCCAGTGCTGGTTTTCCTTTGACCAGCCAACAAGGCTCATCACTCCAGACCTCTGAGGGCAAGTGGGCCTGTGTCCCAGGATAAGCCCTGCGTGGCCACGATCCTTTTTGTGTCTTGTGTGATCCCGTTTACTTATCCCATGTAGGGCTTTCTCCATCCTGTCCTGTAAGGCTTCCTTCTTCTGTCCAGGCTGGATGTTGGTCTCAAAGTCCTAAAACGATTTGGGGCTTGTCTCTGGCAGAGTCTGTCGGGTTGGAATTACCTCCTCCCTGAGTGTTTGGTAGAACTTTTTGTAAATGAGGGCGTTTGGGGCTGAAGGTTTTTGTGGGTATTTTGGCGGCGGGGGGAGAGGGGATTGACTACAGAGAAATTTCTTTAACAACTAGAGGACTCTCCTAGCTTTCCTTTTCTTCAGAATTGGTTGTAATTTTTTTCTGGGCATTAGTCCGTTTCTTCTCAGCCTTCGAGTATATCGGCATTACCTTGTTTATTTTATCCCTTTTTTTCCTTTGTGCAGTGTCCAGCCTTTGGGGAGGGGGGCGCTGTTTAACTGCTGATTTGGTTTGTTTCTTGTCTCTGTTGACTGAAGAAAAATGCACAACCTAAAAGTTGTGAGTTAAGTTTTATTCGGGGACCACACTGAGGACATGGGATGGGAGGCAACCTGTCAGATAGCTCTGAGGGACGGCTTCAAAGAGGCAAAGGAGGAACCAAAATATAGAGGAGTTTTTGTAGTCGAATATCAAAATATTACTGCTAATCACGAAAAGCAGACCGCTGAAATTAATGATTTTAGTACTTTTCTTTTTTTTTTTACATTTATTTATTTTATTTTTTATTTTTTGGCTGCATTGGGTCTTCATTGCTGCGTGTAGGCTTTCTCTAGTTGTGGATCATGGGCTCTAGGTGTGCGGGCTTCAGTGGTTGTGACTCACCGGCTTAGTTGCATCCACGACATGTGGGATCTTCTCGGACCAGGGCTCGAATCCGTGTCCCCTGCATTTGCAGGCGTATTCTTAACCGCTGCGCCACCAGGGAAGCCCCAGGTCCCACCCTGTCTGATGGCACTTTCATGATCTTTCGGGTCTGAATATTTTCTCATTTCCATTGTCACTGCTTCCTTGACCCATGAGGTAGGCAGAATTGTGTATTTAAATTTCCAAACATATGGGAGTTTTCTAGCCATTTTAAAGATTATGGGCTTGTTGACTGTGCTGTGGGCAGAGAGCTGGGTGGAACTCATCTTCAGCTGAAGCGTGGTCCCTGGCCCAGGGTGCAGCCAGTTTCCATGCCCGTTTGGTGGGTGCCTGAGAGGAGTGTGCTCCCTGCAGACCCTCCAGGTAAAGTGTGCACTCTGTGCCGCCCCTTTCCTCGAACCTGCTCGGCTGTCGGCTGCCGAGAGGAGCCCCCACTGTGAAAATAGACCCCTCTGCTTCTCCTGGTGCCTCTGCTAATTCTGAAGATAGGAGATGCGGTCCGTCAGTTTGATGCCGAAAGCTCGGCCTCGGTGACCGGCGCCGAATGGAATCTCGGAGACAGAGTTTTGGGTGACGTAGGAAAAAAATGGCTTTATTGCTCCGCCAGGAGAGGGGGCACGCGGGCTCCTGCTCCGAGAAACTGTGGGTCCCAACCCGGGAGGTTTTGGCGAGGAGTTTTATAGCCATGGTTCAAGGGTGGCGGTGCCGATGAGATTAGGTTGTGTGTGCAGGGCCTGCGCTCCTTTAATCTGGCCTCAGAAGAATGCTAACATTCTGGAATGAAGAATGCTAACATCTTCCGTTTCTTGGGGGTTTTAGTTCTGTAAAGAGCTCAAATACTTTGTTCTGTGTGTCCCTTGAGGAGGGACCAGGACCCTGGCCCAAGGCTGCTCTATTGTTTCCTGGCCGCTCCTCCCTTGTCTTTGCCTCCCCTCCCTTCCCTGATTAGCAGCTGTTCGAATCTGCCCTTTGGAGCTCAGGGAAGGTCATGGAGGCTGAACAGAGAGGCTCCCTTGCCCAGGAGCCCCACAGGGTCCTGCTTGGTTTCAGTTAGAGCTTGGACTTAGAGGGCATCTTAGCAAAGAACAGTACATCTTTGGAGACGGCACAGATGAAGAAAGAGGACAGAACTTCTAGGCGGCAAATTGTGGGAAGGTGCATAAACACACGGGGAGGCTAATGGACGTGAGGCTTATGTAGACCAAGGCCAGAGTTGTCTCAGGTGGGTACCCCGACCTTCCTGGAATGTGGGGACACCTTTACACACTCATGTCCTGCTTTTAGGTGGACAGAGGGCAGAGAGCTTTTCTTGTGCCTGTTTCTTTTCAATTGCCTTCAGCTCAAAATAATCCTTATGCCATAGCAGGCTGTTTTGAGCTGGCATATTTTGTAATTTACATAGACTGTAATTACTCAGTGACCTGGATTTGTCTGACTTTGGGCCTTCTGTTTGTCCTTCATTTCTTCTATTTCTTTTTCTCTGATTTATTACCTTCTTTTGGTTGGTGTTTTTTCTCGTATAACTTGTTTCCATTTACTAATGAGGGAATTGTGCCTATCTATCCTTTCGGCAGTAGCCCTAGAATTGTAGCCTTATCAGGGCGGTCCTACCTTAGCAGGGCTGGAAGTTAATCAGTATCATGATCCCCCTCCCAGACAGTGTGGTGGCTCATCTTGTGTGTCAGCCTGGCTGGGCTGTGGTGCCCCGATGCTTGGTCAGACACCAATCTAGATGTTGCTGTGAAGGTATTTTTAAGATGAAATTAGCATTTAAATTGGCAGACTTTGAGTAAAGCAGATTACCCTCCATGATGTGGGTGGGCCGCATCTAAGCAGTTGAAGGCCTGAAGAGGAAGACACAGATGTCCCCCGAGGGGGAGGGATTCTCCCCACGGCCTCTGGACTCGAGCTGCAGCATCCGCTCGTCCCCAGGTCTCCAGCTGCTGGTCCGCCCTGCAGGTTGGACTCCCACGTCCCCACAGTCGTGGGCCAGTTCCTTAAAATTGACCTCTCTCTGTCCCTCCGTCCCCCTAGCCCTCTCCCTCCCCCCAACCCCCACTCGGTACATTGCGTGCATCTGCAGGTGTCCTCCTGGTTCTGTTTCCCTGAGAGCCCTGATCAGTACTTGGGGCAGGGACCTTGGGACCCTGTCATTTTGATGTTACCATCTGCTCCTGGTCACACACTGTGTTTTGGAGTGTGTTCCATCGTGTTTTTTAGCCCCAGATAGCGGCAGTGCTGTTGTTATTACTCCACGAGGTCAGTGTTTGTCTAGACTCACCCATACCTCTGGTCCTTCTTTGACCTGGGGTCACAGCCCTGCCTTTAGAATTGCCTCTAGTGTGGGAAAGTAAGTGACAGCATGTCTCGGGTTTTATTTACCTGAAAATGTATGAATTTTGTTCTTCAGTGGTTTTTTTGCCGATGGATTTCAAAATTCTCTGTTGACAGTTCTGTTCTCTGCAGAGTGAAGACATCATTCTGACGTCTTGACTTCTGTTGCTGCAAAGTTAGCTGTCAGCGAATGTGGTTCCATTGAAAGGAGTCCATTTTTTTCCTTTTTGTTCCTTTTAAGATCTTTCCCTTTTCCTCAGGGTTCCTTGGCTTCACTCTGCTTGGTTTAGGTGAGCTTCGGCATGCCCTGCTGGGGTCTGGTGGGCTTGGCTTTTAGAAATTGCTCCCCTGTTGTCTCTGCAAATATTGTCTCTCCCCACCCGCCCCTTCTTTCTGGAGCTTCAGTCGCAGGCTCACGATGTCCCCATGCGTCTGTCTGTCTTTCCTGTTGTCTCTAGCTCTGATCCTCTGTGTGCTTGATTTGTTTTCCATTTCATTAATCTCTCTTTGCTTGTTGACATTTCAGTGACCGTATTTTTCATTTCTAGAAGATCAGCCTGGATATTTAAAAGCTTTCCCTGGTCAGTGTCTTATATTTTTTTCTCTCTCATTTCTTCAAACACGTGAAACATTTATTTTCCGTTTCTGGAAATCACCAGGTCGCAGGTCCTTGCAGGTCTTGGTCATCATGGTTTCTTTTCCGTGTGTTTGCAATTTTGGGCTCATGTATCTTAGGCTTGTATCTGTGGGAGTTATTTGAGGCCGAGTTGGGGTGATTTGCCTGTGTAGGAGGTGGGGAGGGTGGGAGTGGGGCTGGGTCCCGGCCCGCAGCCAGGAATGGCCTTGGGGCCGCGGGGGCCCTGTGAACTGTGCTGCAAGCCCATGCAGGCTGGCTGCTGGTGTGGATATCTGAGTGTCAGTGGAGATAAGCTTATCTCTCCCCCACCACCGACCCGCCACCCCGACAGCAGTGTTTCCTTTGGGAAAGACCCTTGTTTTCAGAGCCTTCGCCCTGAGGGTATCAATGGGAGTCACTTTTGGTGGGAGAGGGATCCCTGGTTTGCTCCCTGCATTTGACAAATGTGCATGGAAGGAGGGGGTCTAAGAAGCCCCAGGTCACAGGGTCAGAGGCCCCCAGGTCACCTGGTCCGAGACCTCCTGGGCACTGGGGACCCAGGTCTGTGGCGGCATTGGTGGTCCAGCCTGGGGCTCTCGCGGGTCGGGCGGGTGTTCGTTCCTCTCAGTCTGGAGCCCTCGGGGAGGGGTTGGGGGGTAGGCTGTGCGTGTGGAGGTGGGGGGCTGGGGAGAACTTGGAGAGAAACGTATGTGAAGCCAAGGGAGCTGCAGCTCCGAGGAAGGGAGTGGTCACCAGCAGGTCAGTGGCCAGTGACGTGAAGGGCTGGAAGCTGGCTGTGAGGGCAGAGGTGGGTGGGGCCAGCACTCCCTGGGGTGGCCTCCAGGCAGGGCAGGGGCGGGGCTGGGGGCTCTCAGGAAAGGGGGGCCCAGCCTGACCTGCGCGTCCCTCCAGGGGACGGCAACCTGCACCTCAACGTGACGGCAGAGGCCTTCAGCCCGTCACTGCTGGGCACCCTGGAGCCCTACGTGTACGAGTGGACGGCCAGGCAGCGGGGCAGCGTCAGTGCTGAGCACGGCCTGGGCTTCAAGAGGAAGGACGTCCTTGGCTACAGCAAGCCACCCGAGGCCCTGCAGCTCATGCAGCAGCTCAAGGCCCTCCTGGACCCCAAGGGCATCCTGAACCCCTACAAGACGCTGCCCACCCGCACCTGACGCCCGCTGCGGTCAGCGGGAGACTCGGGAGGGGGCCTCGATCCTTGGCTTTGCCTGTGGGGCACGCCCGCAGGGCTGGCGTGGGCTCACAGGGCCTTCGTACGACGGAGCCAGCGGCAGGCAGGGTGCCCGGCTCCCTGGTTGGCGGTGGGGAGCCGGCCCTGTGGAGCCTGGGACATGTGGCTCTCGGCAGGATTCCTCTGGGTGCTCTGCCGGTTCTGTTGGGTGGGCCGAATGGAGAGGGCTGCCCCGTCCTCACTCCATCCTCGTGGTGGGCACTCCGTCCCTTTGCAGGTCCTGGACAGGCCAGGTGGGTGAGCCGTTCTGCCCAATCAGAATAGACCAGGTCGCCCCTGCTTTGCCTATGGCCCCTGGGATTCCACCTTGTGGGTTGCAGCTCTGGGAGGGGGCACGGGTGGTCCTTCCGCTGGTCCCCGCACAGCATGAGCCTCCGAGGTGCCCTGGGCAGAGGTGGTGAACTCCATGTGGGCAGTAGAGCACCGTGAGGTGGGTCCACGCGGAGCTCTGACCAACAGAGCCCAGGCTGTCGGGTGCTTTACAGGTGACTTTTAGTCACATTTGAGCCAGTGACAGGAATGCCCCCCACCGTGGAAGGTGTCATTTGCCCCGTTTTCCAGAAGGCCCGTGAGTTGGCAAGACCGCTGTCGGAAGACAGGCATTGGTTTCTCGCACTTGGTGGTTTGCTGTGATGTGTCCTTCTGGTTCTTTGACCACGAATGTCAGGAGTGCCGGGTGAGAAGCCCCGCCCGGCACAAGCATCTTCAGTCACCCCGACCAGGTGCTCCCCATTGACCTTGGTCCCTGGGGCAGCTGCTCGGGCTGTGGAGACAGTCTGGGAGGCTGGGCACGTTTTCTGGTTCTGGCTGCCGTGAACTTCCAGGAAAAGTGGGACTAAATCACGATACTCTCCTTCCTTCTGTTCCTAGAAAAATAACCTCAAAAAAGCCCGTGAAGTGCCCGTGTACCCTGCTCCCCAAGCACCCGAGCGTCAGTGACCCGGGGCCTGGCAGTCTGTGTGTGGGGACAGGGCATCCCTGTCCCCGTCCCCCATCCCCATGCCATGTCCCCCGTCCCTGTCCCCCACTGTGACTTGGAGCCCCGCTCATCAGGCCCCTGAGGCATGGTCTCACGTGGGTAATGTGCAGTGAGGGGCTTTGTGATGCAGAGAGACCTCCTATAAAAAGTTTTAGGACTAAGCAAGTTTATTTTGGAGAATTAAAATAATGCATGGTTTATTAGCGGGCTTAAAACTTTGAGGCATTTCCTGCTAGAGTAAGGGTGGGGCTTCGAGAAGGTGGCCTAGTGACTGGGGGTGGGAGGGGGCGAGTGGCAGGGGAACCCCTCCATGTCCTTGAAGGATAAGCTGGCCCCCAAAATGTCAAAAAGTGAAGTGGCATCCACCGGCCCTGCAGTTTACTCCTGGGGCTCGCCCCTCAGGACCCACCTGTGCACGCACACACGCGTGCACACACCTGCACACAAATGGCACACGTGCATGCATGCACATGCCGGCGTGTCCCCGGGCCATGCACGGGGCACCGTCTGCAGGTGGTGTCAGTCAGTGGCCACGTCGCTGGCCGTGTGTCTGTTGAGAAAGAGGCGGGGGTGTGCCTCTGTGGCCCCTGGACAGAGGGACGGCCGGAGGAGGGGATGGAGGGGGCAGCTCACCTCCTGCTTCTGAGAAAGGCCATCGACTCTTGGAAGCCGGTTCAAACAGAACCTTCCTGCGTGTCAAGACCGCAGATGGGACTCACTTTGGGCGCCTGGAGGCCGGGTTGGGTAGGGAGGGGATGTCATTTTCTATATTTTTGGGATGCTTTGCCTGGGGTGCGGCGCCGCGGGCCAGGGGCCTTGTTTCAGGACCCACAGCAGCTGGGGTGGGATATGCCGTTTTCTCTGCCCCCCCTTGACCAGCAACGGTTCCCTTCTGCCTCTGAGGCCCCCTGTCCTCTGGTCTTTGTGCCGTCTTGGTGGATGGTGTCCTGGAATCAGTGAAACAACGTGGCCTGCGGAGGGAATGTGGGAAGGAGGCCTGCCAGCCGGACCCCGCTTATGTGATGCTAAAACATGGGCTCCCCAAGGACAAGGAGGTCTTGGGTTTTCACACGTCCAGAAAAACCCGCTGGAACAGCAGGAAGACCAGAGGAAACCCCGTCACATCCAGCAGGCGACTCTCAGAACCTGCGGGGACGCAGGCCATGTGGACCACAGTGCAGAGCCCGGAGGTGGGCCGTGCCTGCGGAGAACACGTGCTCTCCCCAGGGCCTCAGGCGCAGACGGCAGGACACCCGGAGCGTGTGTCAAGTTGGGGCCTGGGGAGGCTCACCCATCCAGAGCCTTGCGGGCTCTGCGGTCACACAAAACGTCACAGGCAGAGCAAGGGAGCCAGCCAGGCACCAACAACAGGCGCCTTCGGACCAGGAGTGGACCCCGCGGTGGGGTGGGGGTGGGGAGAGACCTCCCACCTCCCGAAGCGGCTCCTCACCGGCCACTTGCCCGAGGACAGGCGCCACATGTGCCTGCGGGTGGCGAGGGAGGGGCTGAGGGTGCTGTTGTGTTTGGCTTAGAAAAAGCTTCTTGGGGGGCTTCCCTGGTGGCGCAGCGGTTAGGAGCCCGTCTGCTAGTGCGTGGACACGGGTTCCAGCCCTGGTCCCGGAAGATCCCACGTGCCGTGGAGCAACTAAGCCCGTGGGCCACAACTGCTGAGCCTGCGCTCTAGAGCCCGCATGCCACAACTGCTGAGCCTGCACTCTAGAGCCCATGCACCACAGCTCCTGAAGCCTGTGCACCACAGCTACTGAAGCCCACGTGCCACAACTACTGAGCCCACGTGCCTAGAGCCTGTGCTCCGCAACAAAAGAAGCCACCGCGTTGAGAAGCCCGCGCACTGCAACGAAGAGCAGCCCCCGCTCGCCGCAACTAGAGAAAGCCCACGCGCAGCAATGAAGACCCAACACAGCCAAAAATAAGTAAATAAAATAAATTTATTAAAAAGAAAAAGAAAAAGCTTCTGATTTTCACCTTAAAACCTCTAAGCTGCTGCAGTGTGAGAAGAGGTTAAGTAAGAGGACCACTCAGAGCGGAGGTCGCGGAGAGCAGCTGGAGGGGCCCCGGGGGTGGGAGGAAAGCCCCAGGCAGGGCTGCAAGCAGGCTGTCGGGGAGCCGGGGGGAGCAAGGAGGCCACCCACCCCTCAGCCCCAGGGATGGGATGTGGCTGGGGGTGGGCAGCCCTGCCAGGCCTGCAGGGGAGCAGAGTCTCCGCCCTGCCAGCTCAGAGGAAGACTGGGGGCTGACCCCACGGAGAGGTGGAGGTGACTGGCCACGGCGTGATGTAGCTGTGGCGCACGGGCTTAGCTGCTCCGCGGCATGTGGGCACGTGGGATCTTCCCGGACCAGGACTCGGACCCGTGTCCCCTACATTGGCAAGCGGATTCTTAACCACTGCGCCGCCGAAGCCCCTAATGGAGGGACTTTAAGAAGAATGAATTTTCAGTAAGATTAGAGGACATATTGCGGCATACTTGAGAATAAAAGAGAATATTTGGAAACAGAAAAAATGACTTCTGAAAAAATGGAATAGAGGCCGTGAAAGATAGATGGACACTGCAGAGAGCCAGGGTCCGCCAGAAGAAACTCCGGAAGCTCCTCCATCCTCCACCCAGAGGAAAATGCAAAAAAGGAAATTCCAAGGGAGAGTGGAGACGGGAATCAGATCCAGGCTGAGCCAACCTGATAGGAGTCTGGGAAGAAGAGTAAGGGCCATAGATGAGAACCTAGAGCCAAGCAAAGAATGGGCAAAATGACCCCGATTTAAACAAAGACTCAAAGCAACTCCCTGCCCTGAGCATCAGGCAGCTCTGCTAACCCCCAAAGCAAACAAGACCCCCAACTCAGCTGACGGGGGCAAGCGAGTGAGTCCAGGATAAGCAGAAAGCACTGCTGCTGCTTAATACAGAGAGCAGGCTGTCTCAAGGGAGTGGGTGTCAGGCCGTCACCGCTGCCAACAGTGCTGGGACCGTGGACATGGGCCTGTGCTCAGTGGCACAGTAACCAAGGACACGAAATTACCATAGAAATTCAACGGCGGTTACTCTTGCCTTTGAGGTTGGCAGGAATGTAAACTGGCACTGTCTTTTTGGAGGGAAAATTGAGGGTATTTATCACAACGTAAAGTGTACATGGTTTGTAACAGAGAACTTCAGAAACAATCTGGGTGGCCATCCAAGACAAACTCAGTTGTTTAAAACGCGAAGTCCTGCACGACCAATAAAGCTGGGAGCGCAGAGTCTGTGAATCTCCTCTCTGGAGGGGCATCTCCAGGCCTTGTGATGCTGGGGTCAGGGTTGGTGAGCAGGGCTGCGGCTGACTGGGATGGGGTGTGCGTGTCCCAGCCAGCGGTGCCCATGGGAGTGGGGGAAGCCGGGGAGACAGACCGTCTGATTTTTCAAGAGAAGCTGGAAATACAGGTTTTTATGTGAAGTCTCTGGGTTTAAAAAAGCTGGCATCTGACTAAAACGTGAAAACTCCTGAGAGAGGGAACAAGGCGTGTGTGTGCCGGGCCACCTCCTTCTGTGGCCCCCGGGCGCCCTGGTTAGGCAGCCCCGCTCTGCCTGGGGGGCTTCGAACAGGTGCTGCGGGGACTTGGAGGCCCCAGTTCTCCGGGGCCTGGGCGCTCAGCGGGCAGCCTGTGAGGCAGCACCTGGCCTGGACTTGGGGGACGGGGCGGAAGGTAGGCCCTGCTTTCTGGTTTGGACGGGGCTCCAGAGGCGGGAGGCTGCGTGAGCCGTCCCTCCACACTGCCTTCGCCTTTCTGTTCACGGCAGACCCCTGGACTTTTATGTGGGCACGGGCTGCTGGCTGGCGACATCCTGGGGCCCCTGGAGGGGGCAGAGGTGATGTGTGCCACATCTGGGCCACCTCCGTAGGGTGGGTGCCATGGTGCCACCGCCGCCCCGCCCCGCCTTGCCCTGCCGGTGCCCGGCTCTGGTGTGTGGCCCCGGCATGGGGAGGAGATGGTGGCCCAGACACAGGGGTAGGATGTGGGGCCCATGAGGGCCAAAGGGGCTGGCATCTTGGGGGCCGAGGGAACGGCAGGCAGGCACCCAAGTCGTGGTGGGAGGCATCTCTGGGGGCAGCTGACGCCCGTGTTCCCCTCGGGGGTCAGCTGTGGCCCCTGGTGGCAGCCCGCCCCCAGCACAGCCTTGTTGGAGGGTGAGGGCCCAGGGTGGAGCCAGTTGACCAGCAGAGAGGAGCCCTGTGTGGCCCTGTCTGGACACTGCCCCCTCCTGGCTGCCTTTCTTCACCCCCTACCCCTCTCTGTGCTGCACCACAGTCGCATGGCTGGCGGGACCGTCCTGGATCCTGACACAGCCCTGGGGCACGGCCAGCTCCCAGCTCCCGGCCACAGAGTGGGCCCTTGTCTCTGCCTGTGAGTGGGTCAGAGAGGCAAGCACTCCTGCAGCTGCCCCGCAGCCAGCTCTGCGGGGCCCGGTGAGTCCCCTCCCTGCTCACCTATATCTCCGGCCCTCGGGGGCCAGGACCTGCCTCTCTTTGGCCTGAGGGCAATGGGCTTGTGGATGACCGAGGGCCCTCAGCCAGAGTTGCCACATGGGCCCCCCGCAATGGGACGACTTCCTGCAGGGCCTCGGGGTAGATTTAGAGGATGGGGTAGATGTAGGCTGGGTGTCGGGGCCCCGCTCCAGCAAGCATGAGCACTTGGGCCCATAGGTGACGCTTCACCAGGCAGAAGTGTCTGAAATGAGTCCTTGCCCTGGAGAGGGCACAGGACACCCGGGTTAGGCTGGGACCCATCCTGAGGTGACACAGCCAAGTCTGCCCATCTTGTGTGCAAAGGGCCTGTGCCCTTCGTATGCATGTGTTTCATAGCCCTGCAGGTTGAGTGTGCCCAGCGCCAGCAGGCCCACGGGACAAACGTGCTGGCCCAGAGGGTGTGGGGCAGGTGACCTGGGCTGACTTGTGCTCCAGGGCGGAACCCAGACAGGACCGGCTGCAGGAGTTCGGGGCAGGCCCCTGCTGGGGCAGAATGACCCCCAGTAACTTGCCTGGGTCCAGGACCAGGGGACCAGACTGTCTTGGAGGTCCCATCTCCTCTCCCGGCCTCGGTTCCCCTTCTGTGTTGCATCACCCCTGGGGAGGGCCCCGCTGGGGAGGGTAGACGGGCATGGAGACTCATGGGTGCTGGCTTCCCTGAACGCTGGGTTACGGCCATCCTGGTCGAGCCAAAGCCCTGGAACCTGCTGCACTGGCCCAGCTGGGCAGGGACAGCAGCCTGGGAGGCCTGCTCTCCCTCTTAGATTGAGCGCCCCCCCGCAAGGCTCTGGGGCTCTGCAGAAACCCAGGGCCCGGCCCCGGGCGCAGGTGCTCTTAGTACCCGGCAGCCCGTCCCACTCTGCGCAGTGAGCAGACAGCCCAGCTAGCTGCTGGGGCCTGCATCCCTGCTGCCCGGTCCCACAGTGGGGGCTGGACCTGAGCCCCCTTCCTCTGCTGGCACCAGCTGCTGGCGGTCCTGGGCCCTGCAGAGCAAAGCCAAATGCAAAGAATGTCCCGTTTGTGTCCATCCAGCCTCTGGAGGGACATGGAGCACCTGCACCTGCTTCCTGCTTGGGCACAACTGCCCTTTGGATGCAGAGTAGGGGTGGGGGCCCAGGGCTTCCAGGACACGGGAAGCTGCTCTCAGAGGTCCCAGAGGCATGGTGGGGTGGGCGGGCCTGGCGTTGAGCAGGGGTCCGCTGGGCTCAGGGGGCAGCATGGTGGGGCTAGTGCACTGCCCCAGGGAGCCTTCCAGGAGCAGGCGGTCCTGGGCAGAGGTGGCTGTGTCTGTCTGTTTTGGGGACCTCAGGCATGGAGGTGTATGTGTGCATTCATTCCTGTCACCCCACTCTCTCCATCCCGACTGTGTCCTTGGATGTGCGCCGGCCTCGCTGTACAGGGACTCCACTCCCCCCAGCACCCTGTCTGGTTACCGCTGCGTCTGGCCCTCAGCTGCTCAGACACTTCCGGTTCCTGTCGCAGCCCCTGGACCCCACTGCGCTGCGGGGAGCAGACTCACTGCCATCACTGGGTGGGGGCTTGGCCAGCCCACCTTTGTGCGAATCAGAACGGGACCCCCAGCAGGGGGTCAGCGGATTGCAGACCGTGTGTGCCCCCAATGCACCCACACCTGAGGCCCCGCCCTTTGAGCCTCCTCAGGTGACCCCACCCCAGAAAGGCCGCCCAGGCCACGCCCTGTCACCCCTGCAGGAACCCCGGGCCTGTGGGCGAGGGGGCTGGGTGGCCAGCCAAGGTCTAGGGAGCCACAGGCTTCGTGAGGCCTGGGCTGTGGCCTTCGTCACGGTGGCTGAACCCTGGGACGCTCCCTCCTGCTGGGGCGCTCCTGGCGCCTGGCTTGTGGTCTCCCCCCGCCCCTCCCCTCTTGGCTCTCAGCTCTGAGAAGCGCACCCAGCCTCCACGCCCTGTCCCCAGCCTGGCTTCTCTCCTGTGTGTGCTCCCGCTTCTGGGGGGCTCCGTCGTGGAGGGTGCTCATCTTCCTCCCATCACTGTGTGGGAGCCGCTGCTTTTCAAGTTCAAACCCCTGACCCCTACTGCAGACTAAACCCCCCCCCGCCCCACACTTGGCTCCTTTCTGCCTGGAAGGGGCAGGGGCAGGACGGCAGGGCGGTGACCTCTCTGGCCTCCTCTCGCTGCCCCGCTGGCTTGTACCACCCCTAGCTCTCTTGGGGTACACGTGTGAGCTATTTGGGGTACCCCGTAGGTAGGGTGGCTCTGCTGGGCTTCCCCATGTCCCCCAGCCTTGCTTAGGAGCCCGGGGGGCAGGGCGGCGGGTCCCCTACCTCGCAAATGTCCCGCCGGGGCCTGGAGTTCAGGACCCTTATCTGCAGGAGAGCTGCTGGGCCCCCCTTGGGTCAGCAGGCAACCCTCTATATATCTCCTGGCTACCCCCAGGACCCCAGGTCTGAGAGGGTGATGGCAGCGGAAGCCTGGCATCTGCGTGCAGCACATGTGAGCGTGTCTTCCTCTGTGTCTCCCATGTTTCCGTGTTTCGTGTCTTTCTGTGTCCTTTTCTGCGTGTCTGTTTGCACGGCTCCTGTGGTTGTGGGGCCCCTACTTGGGGACACTGAACCCCTCCTTGTCCAGAGCCTTGGGGTCCCCCGGCAGCCTCCTGCCAGGCAGGCTCTGTGAAGACCGCAAGTCCCCAGCACGTGGGTGCACAGGGCCGAGGGGCTCTGGCCAGGCTACACCGCTCCTGTCAACCAACCAGTTCCCTCTCCGTGGGCCATGCTGGCGCGGATTCCAGACATTTGGGGTGCAATAGCCGTTGGGGAGGGACCACCCTGGACGGGGGTGAGGGGCCCTGGGACAGGGCGGTCTCCAGGTGGGCACAGGAAGGCGGGCTGGGCCAGGGCAGGGGCAGGGTGCCTGCACCCACAGAAAACCCTCGCCCATCCGGAGGGACCCCGCTGACGCTGGGGTCCTGGGCCCGCGCCAGCAGAGCATGGGGCCCCGCGTGTCCCCGCACGGACCGTGCTCTTCCAGGGCGAGAGGGCCGGCTTGACGTACCGCGTGCCCTCACTGCTGCCCGTGCCCCCCGGGCCCACCCTGCTGGCCTTCGCGGAGCAGCGGCTGAGCCCCGACGACGCCCACGCCCACCGCCTGGTGCAGAGGACTGGCACGCTGGCTGGGGGCTCCATGCGGGTGAGCCCGGGGTGGGCGGCGGGGGCCGCGCTGCGCGGAAGGACTGGGGACTGAGGCTCGGCACCCTCCCCGCAGTGCGGGCTGCGCGCGTGCTGGGGACGGCGGTCCCGGACGAGCACCGCTCCAGGAGCCCCTGCCCAGGGCACGTCGCGCGCACGGCCAGTCTTACTCTTCATTGCCGTGCGGAGCCGCACCCGCGAGGCCGCGCAGATCGCGGCGGCGTAACCAGCCGGGACGCGGGGCGCGGGGGGGTGGCGCACGGGACCTCACGGCGGAAGTGGTGGGCGGCGCCGAGCAGGGTAGGTGGGCAGCCGCTCTGCAGGGCGCGGGTGCGGAGGGGGAAGGGGGGTCCGAGCAGGGAGGGGTTCGCGCGGGGCGGGGAATGGGATTCTGCACCGCGGGGGGGTCTGCACCCCGGCGGCGGAGGGGGGCCTGGCTGGAGCTCCCACCTCACCCCGCACCCAGCCTAAGCGCCACCGTCGCCGTTTGGTGGGCCGCCCCGGTCCTGTCCCCGGAAGCCCTCAGTCCCGCGCCCGGCAGGCTCTGTCATCTTCCCGAGCCTGTCTCTGTCTGAGCGCTGAGGTCCCTTCTGGCCCCAAACCCCCGGTAGGTCCCCTCTTTTGCCCCTTCCTCTATCTTCCTTCTCACCCCTCCCCCGGGGCCCAGCCCAGGGCGGCAGCCGGGTAGGTCGGCTTGACACCAGCGCTTTCCCTCTGCTCTCACTGCCCCTTCCCCAAGGGCCTGACCACCCACTGCCCTCGGGGCCACTCCGACCCTGGCATGTGGAAGCTGACCCAGGGGTCACCTAGGCCCTGGCAGGTAGGAGCTAAACAGAGGGGTGGGGCAGGCTCTGAGACCCAGATAGGACACAGTGGATCTAAAGAGCTGTCTGCTGGTGTGGACCCTACCCCAGGGGACTCGAGCCCATTGCCAGGAGGGGCTGCCCAGACCCTCCCGCCCTCAGCTGCCCCTCTGCCTGGGCAGCGCACACACTTGGGAGCCGGCCTTCCGCTCACCCGCTGAGAACCTGGCCCAGCGGCCTGCCTGGGCTCGTGGCTCCTGCTAATGACCCAGGAGGCTTGTACAGCCTGGGGGTGGCCGGAAGGAGTGGACGGTGGGGGCACAGTGAGCCGATGGCTGCCCCCTGAGCTGTCCCCTAACCCGGGTACTGGCCCCCGTCCTCCCCGTCCCCCAGGGTGGTGGTGCTGCTTGACCGGGGGGACCAGCAGCCCCTCCTCCCTGCAGACTGGGCCACGTTTGCCGTCAGCTCCAGCCATGGCGTCCGGCTGTGCTCAGGCCGCCTGCTGGTGCCGGCCTACACGTACCGCGTGGACCGGCGAGAGTGCTTCGGTGAGATCTGCGGGACCGGCCGGCACTCCTTCACCGCACCTGGCACCATGGGGGCCTCGTGCCCAACCTGCGCTCGGGCGAGGGCCAGTTGGCGGTGGTGGACAGGGGTCAGGCCGCTGGCATCCTCTACTGCAGTGCCTGGAGCCCTCTGGGCAGCCACGTGCAGGTGCTCAGTGTAGACGAGGGCACCTCCTTCCTGCCTGGAGAGCTGGTACTCGCCTTGGCCGGGGCCGCCGGGGGCTGCCAGGGCAGCATTGTGGGCTTTCCGGCCCCGCCCTCCAGCAGGCCGGAGGATGAGGGGTGCTCCATGGGCCCCAGGAACCCCCAGAGGAAGAAGGGCGCTGGAGACACCCGAGGGGGCGGGGGGCTGGGTGGGACCGAGGGATGTGGGGATGGCTCTGGTGAGCCTGGCCCAGGGCCTGGGCTTGGGGGGAACAGGGGGGCCCGGACCCCCGAGCTCCTGGTCGCACCTCGGCCTTGTCTCAGAGCCCCACGTGACTGCTGTATTCCCACCTGGTGGGGCGAAGGGCACAGCTGCACATGGGCATCATCCTGAGCCGGTTGCCCCTGGACCCCCACAGCTGCCCGGAGCCCTGGGTGATCCACAAGGGCCCCAGTGGCTACTCTGACCTGGCGTCCATCAGGCCCACCCCCGAGAGAGCCCTGACCTTCGCCTGTCTGTATGAGAGTGGGACTGGGGTCTCCTACAAGGAGATCTCTTTCTGCATGTTCTCCCTGCAGGAAGTCCTGGGGAACGTTGGGGCGGGCACCGGGCATCCCAGCCTTGGGGACGAGCCTCTGGGGCGCTGCCGGCCTTCCTGATGGGCCTCTGGCCAGGCCTGGCCCCTGGTGCCCAGGAGGAGCGGGGAGGGGAGCAGGGGCGGAGGATGCTGGGAGGTGGCGGGGTGGGGGTGTCGGCGTGACCCCAGGCCTGGACGGGGCTCCAGCCTGGAGAGGCGCCTTTGCTCCTTGGCTTCTCCATGGAGGTTCGTGAGGGTGAGTGTTTGTGTGGGACCTCGCTGAATTTCACAGAAGCTCAGTTGTTAACAGTCTCCAAGCAGGGCTGGTCTTCAGGAAGGAGGTGTGCAGCCGGAAGGGAGGGTGGCCTGGATGGCCCAGGGTGGACGGGTGGCTAGCCCTGCATGGCCCAGCCCGCCCCCTCCCAAGGCCGACAGCAGGGGCTGGGGGGTGTGGCGGTGGGAGCGTGGCGCCGGGATCCTTCGCCTAGCCCGCGGTGCTTGGTCGCCTGTACCATTTTCCTCTTTCCTCTTGCTCTGCTGGCTTTTTTCTGGCTTATGAACAAGAAATAAAGGGATCCTGCGTGTCTGTCCAGGGCTGTCTCTCCTCAGTTCTTTCCACGTCGAAGCCTGGGGAGGGTCCCCAGTGCTCTAGCCACGTCACCGTGGGGGTCTGCCCCCCTTAGCTAGACTCTCCAGTGCTGGAGGCTGCCAGCCGTGGGGCAGGGGGACAGGCAAAGCCGTCTCTGCGCGGCAGCCCCAGACGTGCCTGGTCTGCACTGCCGGCTGGTGGGGCCGGTGGGGAGCGCGGCGGCTGCCCCTCCCTGGATGGGTCACCTCCCAGGACCTGCCCTCTGTGCCCTCGTGGAAGCACCTTCTTATTTCCTCTTCTTTGTAACATCTTCTTTCTGGTTATAAAAATAAAATGTGTTCATTGTAGAAAATTTGGGAAATGTATAAAACTATAAAGAAAAAAGTGACCCACACGTATCCTTCTGTCCACCACAACTATGATTATCTTTTTGGCATTTCTTTCTGATTCCTTAAAGAAATTCTTTTAAAAGAAATATGGCTGGGAGGGAGGGAGACAAAGAGGGAAGAGATATGGGAACATATGTATATGTATAACTGATTCACTCTGTTATAAAGCAGAAACTAACACACCCTTGTTAAAGCAATTATACTCCAATAAAGTTGTTAAAAAAAAAAAAAAAGAAAGGTTTCAAAAAAAAAAAAAAGAACTATGGCTTCATTTTAGCACATTATCACCCTCCCCACCAGCTCTGTTTATGGGCCCCGATGCTCCATGATGAGGACCCTGCAGGGCAACCTTCTGGGGCTGGTCAGTTTCCCCATGGGTGATGAGCATCTCTGGGGTGTCCCTGGCTGGCCCCAGTTTCTGTCACCTCCTTAGCCTGGATTCCGGGACAGCATGACATCTTACATGGTCTTCCCCAAGGGTGGGGAGGTCCAGGAAGGCTCTGAGCAGTGGAGGCCCAAGGGTCCCCAGGGAACTCAGAACAGCCAGTCCCCTGGGAGCCGGGAGACCCCCCCCCCCCTTATTGCTCTCCTTCACTGTCAGCCGCCCCTGCAGGGGTGGCCACCTTTCAGGGGTCATCACTGGGCTCCAGGCACCCCCTCCACCTCCAGGCCGCCTCAGCCCCCCGTAAGGACAGCCCTTCTACCTGGGGCTTTTGGGCAGTGACTTGAGTCCGCTCTTCTGTTTTTAGGTTTAAGCCACAAAAACCAGCAAAGACGGGCAGGTGGGGTTTTCCAGAGGCCCAGAGGTCACAGGTGTGTACGGCAGTGTCCTGTACTGACTTCCAGACCGGGTGATTAGTGTGCCCTAAATTCCACCTGGAACCTCGGATTGTGACCTGTTTGGAAGTAGGGACTTTGCAGGTGTAATTAAGGTTAGGATTGAGAGGAGACCGTCCTGGGTTAGGCTGGGTTCTAAGGCAGGCAGGAGTGAGTGTCCTTATAAGAGAAAAGGGCCGTCAGGGAGAAGTCACGTGAAGCTGGAGCCCGGGACTGGAGGGACGTGCCACAGGCCACGGACACCTGGAGCCCCCAGAAAGGAAGAGGCAGGAGGACCCTCCCTGGATCCAGGGGAGGAAGCGTGGCCCTGGGACTCCTTGATGTGGGGCTTCTGGCTCCAGAACTGGGAGGGGACAGACACCTGTTACTCAGGCTGCCCTGTTTGTGGAACTTCGGGAAAGCACTGCTGGCCCACCTGGGGGAGGGCCAGCGCCAGCCAGGGCAGGTCCCGGCTGTCCCTGTCTGGGGACTGTGACACTGGCTGGAGTCCTAGCGGGCACGGCAGGCAGGTGCCAGCCTCTCACTCCTGCACCTACATCCTGGGCAGGCTCCTCCCGCTATGGGGCTCCCAGCGGGCCGGGGTGAGTCCCCTCCATTGAGCACCCCATGCAGGCCAGCCGTGAAGTGAGGTCTCCCAAGCGAGCAGAGCCGGCCTTCGGTGACTGGGTCCATCCCAGAGCTGTGGCTTCCTCACTGGCCCCATCCTGGTTCCTCATGGTCTAGGCCGCGGCTGAGGGCTCTGGGTTAGGGCTTCCCCAGGTGTGACCCACCCCCAGGCAGGGAGGGAGGCTGTGGGGAGAGTCCCTGGGCTCAGGGCAGCTTAGGCCCCCTCCTAAAACCGTCCTCACCCACCCCCGAGGCCTGTCGCCACCTGCACCTGCTCTGGCTGGTCCCCGAGGGCTCAGGGCACCTGGTGCTTGCTGCTGTAGGGGGCAGCTGAGCTAGGGAAGGCCCTCCCCGCTCTCCGGGCCTGGATCCAGCTGCTGGCCTGCAGTGTTCAACCTTGCTGGGGCCTGTGGCCCTGGCTTCCCTGGTCCTGGGTGACTGTACCTCGAGCAGTGCACCACTGTCCAGCCTCCGGGGCCACTGGTCCTCAGGTGCGGCCCAGCCTGACCCCACAGGAGCCGCTCCTCTGCCCCCTCCTCCCACTGCCCCACAGGCTGATCTGACCCCCCAGGCCCTCTGGGATGGCCCTGGGCTCTGCCAGCCTCTTCCTTCCTTCCTCGGTTCCAACTTGATGGACCAGCCCCTGGGCATTTCCCCAGGCTCTGTCGTGCGCCTGTGGTGCTTTCCCCAGGCCGGGTCGGGCCTAGCTGGGGGTTCTAATAATAATAATAATAATTATTATTGCACTGCAAACAGTCTAGTGCAGACTGCCCGTTGCGTTGTATCCTCTCCAATGCTGTTCCTTTTGTTTCCTTTCCTTGTTTTACTGGACTGGCAGGACCTCCAAGGAAATGTGAAACAGATGTGATGTCTGGTAGACAGAATACAGGCTCCCGAAGGTGTCAGCGTCCTAACCCCCGGAACCTGTGAGTGTGTGATCTTTGTGAGAAAGGGACCCTGCAGCCGTGATTAAGTTAAGGGTCTTGTGATGGGGGATTGTCCTGGGTTATCTGGGTGGGCTGGCACTTAGAAGGGGGACAGAGGGTCAGAGGGGAGAGCCGTTGTTACGATGCTGGGCTTGAGGATGGGCGAGGGGCCTGGAACCAAGGGATGCAGTGACCCCTGGAATCTGGAAAAGGCAGCGAGCGGATTCTCCCCCGGGGCCTCCAAAAGGAACCGGCCCTGTGGACACCGTGACTTTAGCCCAGTGAGACCCATTTCAGAGCTGAAGGGGGATGAGTTTGTGCTGCTGTAAGCAAGTTAGTTCCAGTGGCCGCCGGAGACGCCAACAGGCGACACTGGCTGCCTAATCCCATTCCAGAGTTTCTGGGGCCCGAGTTCCTGAACGCTGCCCTTCTCACTGGGTGCTTCTTGCTCTCTTCTGTGTGTTTTCCATCATTTTCTGTCTGTGTGCTTCACTCAGACTTTTCTTCCAACTCACTAATTCTGTCTTTGCTGTGACAGATTGGCTGCAGTCATCGCCTCCCTACTCTGTCTCTGTCTCTCTGTCTGTCTCTGTCTTTATGTCTCTCTGTCTGTCTCTCTCTGTCTAGCTTTCCGTCTCTCTGTCTGTCTCTCTCTGTCTAGCTTTCCCTCCCTCCCTCCCCCCATGTCTCTCTGTCTCTGTCTCTGTTTTTCTGTCTATCTGGCTTTTCCTCCCTCCCTCCCCCATCTGTCTCTGTCTCTGTCTCTCTGGGTCTCCCTCCCTCCCTCCTCCGCACTGTGGTCCTGCAGCTGACCGCCCGAGTGCAGCAGTGCTTGGCCGGGCCGCGTGCCCTGCGGACGAGGCTTGTCGCTGTGGTCTGGTGTGGCTCACGGCCACTTCCCTCACCCCAATGCCCCCAGCTGCAAACCTCCATCCTGGGGTCCATTTCCTGCAGAGTCCAGACAACAACACAGATGCCTTTCAAGACTCACATCCTAGCTCATGCTTTCTTAGTAACTGCACGATGTGTTCTAGAGCATTGATGTACGTGGGCCAGCCAACATTTCCTTGCTGGGGACATTCAGATGGCTTCTATTATTATTATTATTATTATTATTGCACTGCAAACAAAGCTGCAGTGTACATCTTTTAACACCTGTCTTTACAAACCAAGACTGATTTCTGCAGGATGGATTCTCAACTGTGGGGTGATTGAGCAAAAATCTCTGCAGTTTTTTATTCTCATAGATAACAGCAGACTATTTTCTTAAAAGGAGTAGTAATTCACAAGCTATCTATACAAGTGAGAAGGCTGTTTTCTTGCACGCTGTTTGCCTTTTTCCTTTTTCCAGTTTGATGGGTGCACGGCGGCCCGTCCTGCCCTCCCCAGGTGACCGTGAGCTTGTGCTTGCACCTGTCCTGGTGTGGACCCACAGGGGAGGGGCGTGGGGTGGTGGTGGCCGGGGTCCTTCCCGGGCAGTGTCTGTAACAGGGAAGAAGGGAGAGGTTCTGTGCGCTCAGAGCGGCACCGAGAATAAAACCGTGATGAACGTCGGGTGGGGTGGGGCCATGTGCCGTCTCTCAAGAGTGTTTGGAGGGTGGGAAGGAGGAGGCTGCCCACAGAGCTATTTTTAGATGAGATTAACATTTAAATCCGCAGACTTTGAGTAAAGCACGTTATCCTTTATAACGTGGGGGCCTCCCCCAACCAGTTGAATGCCTTATGAGAAAAGGCT